TGAGTACGGCCAGCACGGGGGGGCTACCACATATTCTGAGGCTCAGCCCACCCAGGTTTCACGGGCTGTGGTGGGGCAAGCTGGAGCCCTTCCCTGTGTCTCGCCCTGCTGCCAGGTAGGCTCTGCATCAACAAGGCGAGGGCGCCTGGCGGGGCAGGACGCCTGCCAGCATCGGCTCCGAGTGCCTGGAGCCAGCCAGGCTGCCGAGCTGGGAGCGGGAAGAGCTGGAGGCTCATCCCAGCACAGGGAGGTGTAACTGCTCCTGGGGGATCTGGCTTTCCAGACTGGTTTTCTCTAAGCTCAGCTGCCTGCTGGGATCTCTGGGTGGGTGGAACAGAACTGTGTGCTCTCACTGAGGTCGGGGAAGGACTCGCTTTCCCCAGGGCAAGGTGAGCTGACCCTGCTTTGTGTGTGTGTGTGTGTGTGTGTGTGTCCCAGGCCATCTCTGCCTTCGTCTCGCTCATTGTCACAGGCCGCTTCCTGGTGGCAGCGGTGCTGCTGCTGCTGGTGGAGGTGAGCAACATCTTCCTCACGGTGCGCATGCTGCTGAAGATGAGCAACGTGCCTTCCCCGGCGCTCTACGAGGCCAACAAGTACATCAACCTGGTGATGTACTTCGCCTTCCGCCTGGCGCCCCAGGCTTACCTCACCTGGTACTTCCTCCGCTACGTGGAGGTGCAGGGCCAGGGTGCCTTCCTCACCGCCAACCTGCTGCTGCTCGACGCCATGATCCTCATGTACTTCTCCCGCCTCCTCCGCTCCGATTTTTTCCCCTCCCTGCGCAAGGGCTCTGCGGGGAGAGATGTAGACGGTGAGAAGTTTCTGATAGACTGAGACGTGCGCGCCGAGGGGGACCCGGGCTCCGGCTGCTGGAAGTTTTGGGCTCTCCAAAGCTGCTCTGATGTGCCTTAGGGCTCGTTCCCTGGCCCCAGGCCCTGCCTTCACCCGCTCTGCTGCCTAAAAGCGCTTCCCTGCCGGACCAGCCCGACAGCCTCACCGAGCTGCAGGGATGCTGCTGAAGCCAGAGGCATGGCCGATGGAGAAGCAGCCCAAGCCAGCTTCCCTGCAGGCAGCTGGAGGGCCAGGGGTGGCTGTGCTTTGCAGCTGATGCCTGGAAGGGTTGTGAGGGAGGGGACGAGTCCCTCCCGTGGTGATGTTGGGTGTTATGTGCATTAAAATCGGTCTATTTACTGCTGCCGCAGCACACTGGGCTGGCTCTTCTGTGGGGCAGAGCAGGTCGGGGGCTCCCCCTGGGCCAGGGCTCTGGGACAGGATGTGCCCCATTCCCTGAGGAGGGCTGGCAGCTCTCAGGGAGGGAGAGGGCACATTCCTGCTGCTCGCTTTGTCCTAGGGACCTTTCAGCCTGCTGGGTCCTGCCAACCCAGGTGAGCATAGAACAGCACAACTCTGTCTCTCGTGTGGATGGGTTCCCCTCTTCTTCCTCATTCCTCTGCTCTTCCAGAGACCCAGGGCTGTGCAGGGAACAGGTGAAGGGAGCCAGGAGAGGTACCAAGCCTTGTGGCAGTGCCTGACCTGGCTGTCCCCAGCCTGGCTGGGCTGTGTGACTCACCCGGCAGCCACGTGAAGTGGAGCTGGCATGGAAAAGCCATGTGAGGCCAAGGGCTCTTCCTGGAAGATTTCTGCATGCTTGCATCCCCCTGGAGCAGTGCAGCTGCTGCAGCCCAGTGAGTATTCTGGCCCCTCTCCTGCAGCCACAGGACTGGGATGGTTCCAGCAACTCTCGCAGAAGGGGGGCTCAGCTCCCTGGGAGAGTAGGGCCAGAACTGGCCCAGCCGGTCCTGTGGAGCACCAGAGAGGCAAATCCTGCTGATGTGACAGCTCTGGGATCAGTGTTAGCAGCTTAGAGGGGAGTTTAGAGCAACTCCTGCCCAGCAGGATCCTGCTCCGGGAAGGATCTGTCCCACCCACCCCAGCACCTGCCCGGCTCAGGCAGAGACAGGCACTGCGGTTGAAATAAGCCGGTGATTAAGGGGAGGCAGTGGGGGATCACCTTCCCACCAGCTAGCCAGGAAACACCCCACAGGATCTGGATGCTGGTGGGACTCCCTGGTGTGCATTGACACCGGTGCCAGGAACAGTGATGTGTTAGCTGGGACAGTGTGGGCAGGGATCAATACCAGCTCCAAACCTGCTGCTCGTCCCTCCTTGCTCAAAGCAGAGCTCAGCAGCCCTGGCAGGGCCCAGCCTTGCTCTCAGCAGCACATCCCAACAGCTATGTCTGTGTCTTCCAGCTCCAGTTTAAGCCTCGTGGCCTCTTTGCAGTTTAGATGACTGCATCTGCAATCACAACTAGGCCCAAACGTTAATTTTCCCCTCACCCCCATTGCTGCACACATTCCCCCTTGTCTCTCCACTTGAAGCAGACACAGCTCTGTCCCAGCAGGTCACAGGCTCACAGCAGCCCACACTCCCTCTGTCCTTAAACCAGTGTGACAAAGCTGCCCGAAGGAGGGAGCAGAGCTCCCTGCTGTTCCCCTCCTGGAGCATCCCCCAGCAGTGCAGCTGTGGAGCAGGCAGGCTGGCAGCCAGGAGCAAGAGGCAAGGGAAGTACCAGGGCAGCACCACTGGGCTGAGCTGAGCTGAGCCAAGGCTGACTGCAAGTCATGCTGATGTGGAATCCCTCCAGCCTCTGGCTGCAGCACACCCGGGCTCTGCAGCCCCAATCCTTGCCCAGCAGTGACAGCAGCTTTGCTGCAAGAGGGGCAGCTTCTCCCACATCTTTCTTACATGTGACTACGTGTAAAAAGGTGCCTGGGGGTCAGGGGACCCTGCTCTGCACATCCACAGGGAAGAGGCTGGGTTGGGATCACACAGGGAAGCAGCACTCATCCTCCAGGCAGTTTTCCATCCCTTACAGCAGGCAGGGAGTATCTCCTGCCCACCTCCCCTGAGCCCAAGTCAAGCCAGGGCCACACAACCCAGCACAAAGCTCCACCCCAGTCCTGAGAGCAGCTCCTGCTTTCCATCCACCACTGCCCTGGGAATCTGCCACCCCCCACAAGAGGCCTGAAGGAACTCTGGTGTTCCAGCATTCAAGAGCCCAAATACCCCAGTCAATATTTGGTCATGGCTTTCATAATCTTTCTCAGTCAAGTCTAAGTATGTACTTAAGCTCAAGTACCCTGAAGGCTTTTCCATATTTCCCCCATTCTCCCTGCTCACCCAGTGCTCCACATTCTCCTGACTCCAAACACTCTAAAAACCTGGTTTCATCTAGACACCTAAAGCCAAATGTTGCAGAGGCAGCAACAGCAGCATTTGGAAACAACCCTGAGGACAGTGAACCCTGTGAGGAACAGCACTGTGGAAATTCACGCTGCAAGCACGTGGAGATTGTGCCAGAAAAACCCACAAAGCCTCCACTGCTGGATTAGCAGGAGGGTTCCAAGTGAACCTGCAGCATAAGCAGGGAGCTGATACGCTGGGCAAATGGTGTGACAGGTCACCTGTGTCACATCAGAGCCACTGCCAGGTTTTTGTTGTGGCCACCACCCGTGGTTTGCTCCACAAGGAAGCGATGTAGAACACCCAGAACAGCATTCACAAACACATCCGAATTACCCTGTGCAAGAAAATGCAAGACACGAGGTCTGGGGGGAAATGCAGAGGTATTTGAGATTTAGGTGTCACCTCACACTGACATAATCCCAAACACCCTCTGAGGAGGGCAGCACTGCCCCTGCACAGCCCTCTCGTGGAGCAGTCAGCTCTTCCCACTGCCAGGAAGGGAAGGAGGAGTCCCTGCAATGAAGTGAAGGCCCAGAAGTTTGCTGGGTGCTCTCTTTCACACGGGCTCTGCTGTCACAAAACACAAGAGCCCTCAGTGGTGTCACAAAGTTTATTAGTCTGTACAGTCCTCGGCAGATGCAGTTTAGATGATTCCAATCTGGAAAGAAGCAAAGGATGTTAAAACAGATGTTATGGTGGCAGAAAGGCAGAGCCTCCACCACAGACATCACTGCCATGGCTGCATCTCTCCAGGATTTCTGTCCTCCAAGGCTTCCTCCTCCCAGACCAGCCCAAGAGCTTTACACACCCACTTGGGACATTTATTTCCACACTGATCCTTGTGCTGTACATTTCCCTACTCCTCTCTGTACCACCTCTGCCTCCTGCCTACCTCAATCACCTTGAGACTGAACTGACTGAGCCTGGCTCCTACAAGGCCACAGAAGTGCCACCACGCTTGAAGCACAAGTCCCTCATGAAGAAACTCAGCAAGACCAACCAATAGAGGAGACATGAGACAAAAAAAGCAAAAAAAGCTCCTATATTTTAAAGACATCTCACCTTGTTGGCCACATCCAGTGCATCATAATCTGGAGCCAGTCGGACATAAGCCTTCTTCTCTCCATCAGGCCTAGAGAGGAACAGGAGGCATCAGGACAGAGGCAACTCCTCCCCCTGCTCCACATTCCTGCAACTCCCATGTGCATCAGTGGTTCCTTTGGAAGCATCACACTACTCAGTGGAATCAAAAGTTTACATCATTTGCACAGGACTCCCTGGGTGTCAGAAGTGCTCCTTGAAGAGGCAAAGAGCTCCCTGAGGAAACCAATCCTCTGGCCTGCCAACATTTCCCACTTCCACCAAGATGTGCTCAGTCAAAAGCTGCACTTAGCTATGGAGCTTTATCCCACATCTGCTGAATCTCACACACGTCTTCCCATTTCCTGCTAAAATGAAGCACCTCACACCCACCAGGGACCTGTTCTCCTCCCCCTTCTCACCTGATCAACGTGTTAACCTTGGCCACATCGATATCATACAGCTTCTTGACAGCCTGTTTGATCTGGTGCTTGTTTGCCTTGACATCCACGATGAACACCAGAGTGTTGTTATCCTCGATCTTCTTCATCGCTGATTCTGTGGTCAGAGGGAACTTGATAATGGCATAATGGTCCAGCCTGCAAGAGAGGTCCTATGATTAACAAGAGGGCTGGCAGCTGCTCCTCTGAATTTTCAGGGGCTTCCTTTGGGGTGCATCAGTCACCTAAGGTCATAATCACAAACTCTCAGGCTTTGGTCGCTTTAAAATCATCACCTGCACCCCAAACCACCAGGGCTGCTCCCACCCCCCAAAACCGAGCAGAGCCCCACACCCCCCACGCACTTGTTTCTCCGTGGGGCGCTCTTCCGGGGGTATTTGGGCTGTCTCCGCAGCCGCAGCGTCTTGGGCCTGCGGAAAGTGGGCGACGTGCGGATCTTCTTCTTCTTGTGGCTGTGCACCCCCTTCAGGACGGCCTTCTTGGCCTTCAGCGCCTTTGCCTTAGCCTCTGTCTTCGGAGGCACAGCTGTGAGGAGAGCTCAGTCAGCACCACAAGGATCTGCGGCTTCCCCCGGTCAATGAGCAGGACCTCACCCAGCGCCCCCTCACGCAACCGAGAGGAGCCCCAAAACGCCCAACTGAGCTTAAAGTCTCCCGCTTCCATGCGGGTAAAGCCACTTATTCCCTCCCCACACACGACTCCCAGCATGGAGGCGGGAACATCCCCCACCTCCCTCAGACAAGCCGGCAGGCCTGTCCCGCCACCCACACGTGCCCGCGCCTAACACAGCGCCGGAACTCCGCGCTACTCCCCGTTTCACTTAGCTCACCCCCCCGCACACATCCACCAGCACCCCGCGGGTTCCCACACGCCGCCCCGCGACTCCAACACAAAACCAAAGCCCCGCGCCCTCACCCTCCTTCTTCGCCTTGGGCGCCATCTTGGCCAGGCGGAAGCCGAAAGGGGTCTCCCACCCCGCGCTGCACGGGCTTATATCCCCCAAATCTCGCGGGAGCAAGACGGAATCCCTCCATCACCCCGCCGCACCCAACTCTCGCGACATCTCCCGAAGCATGCCGGTAGTGGTAGTACTTATTAAAGGCATCCCGCGCGCACGCGCACGGCGGTGTCCCGTGCGCCGCGAGGCGTCATGGGAGTTGTAGTCTGGCACGCTGCTGTCCCTTCCTGCCGTCGTGGCGGTGCGGGACCGGGGTGAACACCGGGGTGGCGGGGGATTACCGGGGTCCCATCGCGGTGGTAGCAGCGCAATGGCCCAGGCCCGGAGTAACCGGCGTTCTGGCCCCTCCCACGCCCCCGTTCGGGGGCGTGGGAGGGGCCAGAACGCCGGTTACTCCGGGACTGGGCGTGAAGAACCGAGCACCGCTACCGGAGCTGGGAGGTTGGCGGTAACGGGGACATCCCGGTTCATTCCCTGGCCGTGGGGACAGGGATGAGGCAGGGAGAGTTTGATCTTGGACGGGATGAGGCGAGGGGACGGCGGGGTCTGTGCACGGGGGACACGGGACACGCGGGGACCCGGAGGTGGGGGTGGGTGAAATTTGGGGACAAGGGACAGTGATACCCTGGGATGGCCGTGGGGACAGCTGGGACACGGGGATGGATGGATGGATCATGGGGATAGTGGTGTGTAGGAATGTGAGGGTGGTGGGACACGGGGACAGCTGTGCCACAGGGTGTGAGGACAGCCACAATCAGGGGGCTGGAGGTGGCAGGGATGGGGGGACAGCCAGCCTTGGTGGCGTGGGGAATCAGGACACAGCGACAGCCGTGTCCTGGGAAAGCGGAGAGTGCTGCGATAAGGGGACATCCCCATCTGGGGACACGGGGACAACCGTGCCCCAAACCGCTGCTCGTGGCGACAACTGTGCCACGGGGACATCGCCACTCCTTGCTCTCTCTGTCCCCAGACCCCGCGGTGACCCTCATCCCATCCCTGCTCCCCCAGCCACCCACGGACCATGAACATACTGGCTCCGGTCCGCCGGGACCGGGTCATCACCGACCTGCCCACGGTGAGCAGGGGGACACGCCAGCTCGTGGGGGGCGACCTGACCGAGCCCCGTGGTCACCCCGGTGTCCCTCTTTGTCCCTTCCACAGTGTTTTCGGGAGGAGGCCGCCCTGCACACCCGCCCCGCCTTCCACCCCACGGTGGCCAGCGCCTGCCAGGAGCATCGCACGGGCACCGTGGGGTGGGTCCCGCGTGTTTTGGGGTGGCTGCTGATCGGGGGGTGCCGAGGGTCCCGCGGTGCCGCGGGTGGGGGTCCCGGCGTGGTCGCAGCGTGGGTGGCGGAGCTGCCCGGTGCCGAGCCCTGCGTCACGGCGCTGGAATGCGGCGCGGGGGGGACACGGGGGATCGCGGGGAGCCGTGGCAGGGCGGGGATGAGGACGCGGGGACCGTGGGGGGATGATGGGCGCCCACCCTAACAGCCCCTCTGTGCCCCTACCCTGTCCCCCCTCGCTGCAGGTTCAAGATCTCCAAGATCATCGTGGTGGGCGACCTCTCGGTGGGGAAGACCTGCCTGATCAACCGGTAACGGGACCCCGGAGAGGCTTGGAGGGGGATGGTGAGGGGGGGAAGTGATCCCTCTGCCCCCAAAGGGCGGCAGCACCTTGGGCTGAGCCCAGCTCTGGACACTGAGCCCCCGAGGGGTTGGGATGAGGGTGTCAGGGGATGCTGATACCCGCCTCGCTCCCCCCCAGGTTTTGCAAGGACATTTTTGATAAGAACTACAAGGCGACCATTGGGGTGGATTTCGAGATGGAGCGGTTTGAGGTGCTGGGGGTGCCCTTCAGCTTGCAGCTGTGAGTAGGTGCCAGCCCCTTCCCCACACACCCCTGCAACCCCCTCCTCACCTCCCACATCCCCCCAGGTGGGACACGGCTGGCCAGGAGCGTTTCAAGTGCATCGCCTCCACCTACTACCGGGGAGCACAGGGTGAGCTCCCCACTGCAGCCCAGCTGCACCCCACTGTCCCTGTCCCCATCTCACCCCTCCTTCCTTCCCAGCCATCGTGATTGTCTTCGATATCAACGACGTGGAGTCCCTGGAGCACACACGGTAGGTGACACATGGCCCAGCAGTGGGGCCAGGGATGAGCATGAGAGCCTTTAGGGTGGACAGAGAGGGGTTGTGGGGCTGCTGTGGTGTGTGGGCACGAGGGCAGTGCTCGGCCAGCAGCTGGTGACAGTGGCTCCCACAGGCAGTGGCTGGATGATGCCCTGAAGGAGAATGACCCATCCAACGTGATCCTCTTCTTGGTGGGCTCCAAGAAGGATCTGAGCGTGAGTATGGCCCCATCCCTGTGGGCAAACTGTGCCCTGGCTGCCCCTGTCACCCACCCGTGCCCCGCTCGGTTGGCAGACCCCAGCAAAGTACAGCCTGATGGAGAAGGATGCTCTCAAGGTGGCCCAGGAGATGCAGGCAGAGTACTGGGCTGTCTCCTCCCTCACTGGTGAGTCCCAGCTGCCTGGGGGGGCTGCAGAGCCGGGTGTCAGCCAGCTCGGGGGGCACTCAGGGGGTCTTTTCCCACGGGGCAGGGGAGAACGTGCGGGATTTCTTCTTCCGAGTGGCGGCGCTGACCTTTGAGAACAGCGTTCTGGCCGAGCTGGAGCGCGGCAGCAGCGCCCGCAGGATCGGCGACACCGTGCGTGAGTAGCCCTGGCCAGCCCTACCTGGGTGTCCCCATGGTCCCCACAGCCAGCCGGCCACCAACCCTCCTTCCTCTGTGCCTCAGGGATCAGCAGCAAGGAGAGCGACCTGTACCTGTCAACGCCCCGCAGGAAACCCAAGTGCTGCCAGTGAGGGGACAGCCCCGGCCCCCTCTGTGCTCACAGCCCTGGACCAAAGAGGGGCCACCCCAGCCGGCCCCGAGGAGATGTCCCTGCCACCCCCAGCCCCCCCAGCCCATCGCCTGCCTGGGCACCCCTGGCTGGGGCAGGCAGGAGTGTGGCTCCTGTAGCTATGCAAACCCAGGTACTGCTTGCAGGGGGAGATGTCCTCAGGCTCCCTTTTGTCTTAATAAAATCTTTTTTATGCTTTGTAAGAAAGGTGTGGGGCTGAGGGCAGGGGGCTGGGACTGGCTGTGGGTCTTCCTGTCCCTGGGTGCAGCCCCCAGGCTCGTAGGGAAGCAGGAGGATGGATGGATGAGTTCCTTTTCCACCGAGGAGCATCCCTGTCCTGCAGAGCCAGCAGCCCTGTGTCCCTCGGGGGGCTGCAGGGGACACACGAGGTGACACTGCCACATCAGTCCCAGCCGAAGCGGTGCTGGTCGAAGCGGGGCTGCAGGCGGGGGGGGACACAGTGGGAGCACTTGTAGCGCTCCTGGATCCACTTCCCCCCCTCGCTGTTCTCCATGCAGATGGCAGCGACACCTGTGGGGACACACAGGGGGGCTCAGCGCTGGCCACCACAGCCCATGGGAACGGTGGTCCCATTGCACCCATGGGTGCACCCTGGGGTGCCCTCTCCTACCTGCCACGACCCCCCCTAGCCGCTCCACCAGCTCGATGGCCGCTCTCATGGTACCCCCAGTTTCAACCCACTGGTCCACGAGGAGGATGCGCAGACCTGGAGGGGGCAGAGGCTGTGGATGAGCGCCCCGTGCCCACGCTGCAGCCCCCCAGAAGGGGAGCACCCCTCTGGCTTGTGGGAATCCAGGGCTTCCCTCTGGCTGCCCTGGCGGGTCTGGGACCCTGGCAGGGGTCAGGAACCCCCCTGGACAGAGCCCCCAGAGACACTGTCTGTGATCTCTGTCCATGGAGAGGAGTTTTCAATCTTACAGGATGAATTACCAGCTCTGAGTGTTTGATAAGAGTAATAATTAAGTGTGACACGGGTGCAAAAGTAAAATTTTAGATTTCTAGATTAGGGGTTCAGAGGGGACAAGATGGAGGAAATTGGGTGTGCCTTGTCCTTTTCCTCCTTCTTCATGCCCTCCATGTTTCACTGTGGTGTTGGCATTTTTCTGTTGGTTCAGGCTGGGGACACACTGTTCAACGTAGGTGACAGATATTGGCACGTTATTGTAAATCCAGCACAGGTAGTTTGTGGGATTTAATGTTTGTACCATCCCACTGAGGGCAGAGCCCCACACGCTGCCCTGCAGGACAGAGCTGCGGCAGGGCAGCAGAACATGTTAGAGATAAACAGAATAAACAACCTTGAAACAGCACAGACCAATTATGGCTTCTGCTTTGGCAACGGGGCAGAAAGACAGAGACTTTCTACAATCCTGGAATCACCAATACCCACAGATTCTGACACTGGCTCACCGGGTGAGATGGCGTCGGTGCGGACCTCCATCACCTTCTCACGGCCCGAGTAGTCGCTGTAGGGCTGTGCTGCTGTCTGCACACACAGGTGCCCGGCTTTGCGGATGGCCAGGAAGCCTTTCCGCAGGGCAGCAGCGGCCGCAGCGCCTGGAGGTGGCACAGCACCATCAGACCCCCGGGGACAAGGGACAGGGACCCCGCGCTCGCCCGTGAGCCGCGCCCTGCTCACCCAGGATGAAGCCCATGGCGTCGATGCCGGCCACCATGTCGATGGCATCTCCCTGGAAGGGCTGCAGCAGGTCGGCCACGCAGTCCTGCAAGCCCTGAGGGGAGAGTGGAGGGGCTGGGTGCCCGCAGCCCACCATGGGCACCCACAGCTGGGTGTCCCAGCGGCCCCGTGGGGATGCAGCCCTCCCTGGCACCCCATGGGTACTTGCGGGTGGCAGTAGAGCCGGGAGGGGTCCAGCCAGGCATAGTTGGGACCTTTGACGTTGGGGGCCATCAGTGCCAGGTACCAGCCCTTCTCCCGGGTGGCAGGGACGTGGCACAGGTCCATGCGTGGGCACTGCAGGCGCTGCAAACACTGAGCATGAAGGGAGGGGGGTGAGATTTCCCCACCTCCGTTCTCCACAGGGCTCCCCACGGCCTGGTACCCCCCACCCACACCCACACGTGGCACCCCAGGGCCCAGGGTTCCCGTTCTGGCTCCGTACCTGGGTGCTGGTGGCAGGGCTGAGCTGAGCAGGACCGTCACAGGAGCGTCACAGACAGCGACAGCTGAGCGGGGGCAGCCCCTGCGGCGCTGGGCCAGCGCCCTCGGCCAGCTGGGCACTGGAACAGTGCCAGGCAGGAACCCTTCCCATGGGCCACTGATGTCCCCCACCGGCTCTGCTGTCCCAGCTTTGGGTGGTCCCAGGCAGCGCAGGGATTTTTTGAGGCCACGCACGTCCCCGTTGGGGTGTCCAGGCACTGTCCTGCCCTGCTGAGAGTTGGCTCCCACAGCGTCCCAGTGAGCCAGGGCTGTGTCCTGAGTGCCAACGGGCTCCCAGGGCAGGAGCTGGCCAGGAGGGACAGCCCTGGCAGCGCTCTGGGAGTGCCAGTGTGGGCTGCCAGCCCGGCTGGGCACCGGGCTCCGGGCTGTCCTGTGACTGGCACATCTGCGGGATGGGATGGGATGGGATGGGATGGGATGGGATGGGATGGGATGGGATGGGATGGGATGGGATGGGATGGGATGGCATGGCATGGCATGGCATGGCATGGCATGGCATGGCATGGCATGGCATGGCATGGCATGGCATGGCATGGCATGGCATGGCATGGCATGGCATGGCATGGCATGGCATGCATGGCATGGCATGGCATGGCATGGCATGCAGCGCCACAGGGAGCGCCCGTGGGATGGGACATGTGGGTTCAGCACCCACTGGTGGGGTGGGACGTGCAGATGTGGGGAGCACCCGCGGGGAGGGACACGGGGATGCAGGGAGCGTCTGTGGGCTGGGATCCGGGGCTGCACAGAGCATCCTCCATAGGGTGGGACGCAGGGATGCAGGGAGCATCCTTCTCCCGTCGGGGGCCGCTCCGGGGCCGGGGGCTGTGCGGGGGCCGGTGCGTCACGGGGCGGGGGTTTGGGGCCGGCTCGTTACCGGTCCCGGCACATCACCCCACCGGCTGCCACAGCAACGGGGCCGGTCCCACCGGGAGGGGTGACCCCTTCCCCGCGGGCTGGCGGCGCGGGGCGTGCCGCGGCTGCGGGAGCGGCTGCAGCACCCAGCCCGGCTCTGCGGGACCCTGGGCACGGTGCCGGGCCGTGCCAAGCCGTGCCGGGCCGTGCCAAGCCGTGCCGGGCCGCCCCGCGTGGGCGGGCTGCGCCACTCTATAAGGCGGCCCCACGGCGGCGAGCGGCGCGGTGCCATGTGCGCCCCGGGGCTGCTCTGCTGCCTCCTCCTCCTCCTCTTCCTCCTGCTGCCACCTGCCCCCGGAGCGGCCCCGCCGGGACGGGCCCGCGCCCGCCGCGGGCTCACCTACCCCGGGACGCTGTGGTGCGGTGCGGGCAGCAACGCGGACAGCTACGAGCAGCTGGGTAAGGGCGGCAGGGATGCTGCTACATGGATCTTCCCATCCCATCCCACTGCCTTCCATCCCTTCCAATTCCGTTCCTCAAATCCCTTCTCCCCATCCCATCCCATCCCATCCCATCCCATCCCATCCCATCCCATCCCATCCCATCCCATCCCATCCCATCCCATCCCATCCCATCCCATCCCATCCCATCCCATCCCATCCCAGTGCCGCTCCAACCCACCCAGCCCAGTACTGGGTCAGTCCCCACCAATCCTAATCCAGTCCATCCCAGTACTGGTCTACTCCAGCCCCTGTTCCCATGCTAATTCAATTCCTGTCTGTCCCAGTTCAGTCCCCACCCAAGCACCAGTCCAATCCCAGTTCACCTCTGCCCAGTCTCTGTCACAATTCTTTCTGGTGCTGGTCCACTCTTGATCCACCCTCTGTCCCAGCCTACTCTGTGCTCCATCCTGCTGCCATTCCAGTCCTATCCTGATCCCAGCCTAAACCCTCTCGTGGCCCTGCTCCAGGACTCCATTCTAGTCCCAGTCTCACCCCCAGTGGGGTACTGGCACAGCCCAGTCCCCATCTCAGTGCCAGCCTTGTCCCCACGCGAGTGCTGATCCAGCTGAGCCCCAACCCACCCGCTATGATTCCATGCCAGTGTGAATCCAACCTAACCCTGATCCTGGTGCTAGCCTAGCTCCACCCTAGCCCTGCTGATGGCCCCCCCAGCCCTGCCTGTAGCCCCGTTTCCCTGCAGGGGAGCACCGGGACACGGACCGCTGCTGCCGGGACCACGACCACTGCCAGCACGTCATCCACCCCTTCACCGCCCGCTACGGCTACCGCAACCTGCGCTGGCACACCATCAGCCACTGCGACTGCGACCACCGGTCAGTCCCCAACCTGCCCTCTGGCAGCCCCCTGAGCCCCCCTGAGCCCCCCTGAGCCCCCCTGTGCCCGGCAGGTTGAAGGAGTGCCTGCGGCGGGTGAACGACACGGCCTCGCGGGTGGTGGGCCAGGCCTTCTTCAACGTCATCCAAGCACCCTGCTTCGAGTTCACCTACAGGGAGGAGTGTGTGGAGCCCTATCTCTATGTCTGGTGAGTGCCCCCCTGCCCTGGGGACTGTCCCCTGCCTCCCTGGGCTTGTCCCACCCTCTGGTGCCTCCTCGATTTTGGCAGGTGCAAGACGTACAACACGGTGGCCGTGGCGGTGCCCCGAGAGCCGGTGCTGTATGAATTTGGGGGGGAGCTCATTGACAGGGCAGCCAGGCCCAGGGGAGTCCCCCTGAGCCCCCCGTGGGACAGCACAGAGGGAGGAGCCCTCCCAGTGGATCATCACACCGGGACAGCACCCAAGGCAGTCAAGAAAGAGAGGAAGAGAAAGAAAGATAAGAAAAAAAAGAGGAAAGGTCTGAAAAAGAAAGGCTCTTCTGAAAACGGGGCACGGAGCCATCCTGCAGCTGCTGGCCCTGCTGATCCCTGGGCCCTGCTGCCATCCAACACCATCCTCAGCGATGCCCCGGCACGGGATGGAGTGGGCACGGAGCCAGTGCCAGTCACTCCCTCCCCGGTCCCCACCACCAACGGGAAGAGGAGGAGGAAGGAGAGGAACAGAAAGAAGAGGCTGAAAAGTAAAATTCAGGCTGAACCTGCACGAGAGCTGCAGCTCTGAGTCCCCCCTGGGCCCTGCATGGGTCCTGGCTGTGAAATAAATTTACATCTGCTCAAGCATCCTTGGCTTTGTCTCTGGGGGAAAGGATGGCACCGGGGGCTGATCCCATGGGAGGGGAACACCGAGACTGGGTGGGGATCCAGGGGTTTGAGCTGTTCCTCACTGCCCCCCTCAGCTCATGTCATTGTCCTGGCACTGGACACAGCTCCTGGCCACATACTGGCAGCAGGGCTGAGCCCCAGTTTTAGCTCCCCTGCTAGAGGGTTAAATTCCAGCTCCCCAGGCATGTTTTTCTCCGGGAGTTCTCTGAATTGCACCACCCAAGCTCTCTCATCCTCTTAATGCCTTGCCTTTCCCATGCTCCCACACCAGCATCAATTCCTTCTCCATTCCTTTGGGAGGAACAGGAGCTTGGCCCTCCCTGAAGGCTCCTCAAATGCCTGCAAAGCTCCTTGGAGTGGGACAACAGATGATTTTCCAGCCCTGGGACAAAGGCAGACGCTGCCTGGGAAGAGCTGGGGCAGAGAGAGCCGCCTGTGTCCCCTCCTGGTGGGTGGGGATCCTGTCTGGCCCCTGCAGTGAGGAGCAGGGAACAGGGCATGGCCACCAACTCCCCCAAAATGCTTTCAAGGGTGGAGCGTGGCTCAGCCCAGTGTCCTGGTGAGGTGGTGGAAAGATTTTCCTGCACCAAATACCAGACTTGGAAAAAGCTGGAGCGGCAGGAGCCAAGCAGACAGCAAACCCCACACTGAGGAGCGTGCAGTGCAATCCCAAATCCCGAAATAAGCGGATCACAGGGGCCAGGGGGGAATACCACGGGTGGAGGAAGGCATTGCTTCCTCTCTGGGTGCAAAGCCCCAGTGGCAGCCACAGCATCCCGGCAGGAGGCACGGACAGGGCGCTGGCGGACCAGCTTCCCAAAAGTAGAACTTTTATTGACAGCAAGGGAAAACTAAAAACAAAGACAGCCAGAAAGGAGGCAACAACACACAACTAGCCTCCCCTTTCAGGTCCAACCAGTAAGGAGCTGCTCCCAGTCAAATTCCTATAGAACAGTCTCACAATATAAGAAAATAGCGCCAGGTTCATCCACCTGCGACCTCGGAGCTGTGGGCCCCGGCCCACGGTTGTCCCCACTGGCCTGGGTGGCTTTGGGAGGAACAGGACCCTGCCAGCCCCTCAGCACTGCAGAGGGGATGGCATTGAAGCCAGGACCTGCACTTCTCTGTGCGAAGAGCTTTGCTTTGTCTCCCGGCTCGCTGCCATTCTTCAGGAGCATTTACATGCAAAGAAGAGCTTTGTTTCCAAAGATCTGCTGTTCCTGCTCATTTCCTAGCAAAGGAGGCTGACCGAGAGCACTGGGAAGGAACAAAGACTCTGCTTCCATAGAAAATCCCTACTAACAAAGCAGGAGAGGGGAGAGTGTGTGCAGCAGGAACTTTCCCTCTCAGAAACGTCTCTCCCATCACGGGCAATTCCTCAGGAGCAGCACACTGGGCTGCTTCTTTATCCACTTTATCCCTCTCCCAGTGTCTCCTCCTATCCCACAGCCACAGGAAGATGCCCTCGATGTGGTGTGATGTCTCCATGTGGTGCATCCGTAACAAAACCTTATTTGTTAACAACAGAAATTGGCTTCTCTGTGGAACTTCCAGCACACAGAGGGCAACACCAAGCAACAAAGGAAGAAGGAGCATCGACTTCCACCAAGCAATTCTGCTCTGAGCAAATCCTAAGGGAAGGGCAGGGTGCAGGCAAAAAACCTCTGAGCTAGCATTCAGTAAAAACTCTATTTATTCACCCCTCTTGGTTACAGCTGGGCAGGGGAAGCAGGTACAGAGGAGGAGGCCATGCACTCCGGGCTGCTCCGTGGTGCTTTATCCCACACGTCTGCTTGGGGAAGCTGCCGCAGGCTGGCGCTTTGTTTCGCAGTCTGATTAAAAAAAAATAATCAAAACTAAATAAATATTGTTCCAAAAGAAGCCAGAGGAGAGAGCAAGCCTTTGGTACAACAGCTGCATCTCCAGCAAGACCCCGAGCTGCTGTGCTGGACCCCTCCAGACACAGCTGGGGTAGGCACAGGCTCTGCTGAGCCTGTCACACATGAAAACATGGAGCTAACAACAACAGGAACTTTGTGAGAACTCTGGCTCGTTTGTCACAACCCCCACGACTTTGCTTTGTGGTCTCGGGACGAGGGGAGGTGACAGGGTTTGGGAGAATCCAAGGCTCACTCC